TTGTCGTCTGAACGACCGATTTACAATTTATTCAATGATTATGATGATGATCAACAAACCGTCACTGTCTGACATTTCCAAACATCACTGATAAAAGAAGAGAAATTTTTTTTATTTAGTTTTTATTGCAAAAACTAAACGTCGACATATAGGCCTTTCTACAAACAAATGATTATTTCCATATTTATGAATTCATAATTAATGTAAATCTTGTGCAACTATTATCTCAGCTAGAAATTTATTTATAAGAATTAACAATTCTAAAAACAAAACAAAAAAAGAAGAGATTATCGGAAATATATCATTAGGAAAAAAAAGAAAACAATACTTAATTAGACATTAAATCGTTTATTGACGATTAATATGAATCATGATTTGAGTTAATGATTAATTTTTATAATAAAACATTATTTTTTCATAATGAACTTAATTCTTTCTGAAAACAATAAGAATCAAACAAAATATATTGATATTATCTTTACTATCGAATATTTGTATACCTAACAGAAAAAACTCTTAGTCCAATTCGTGCGGAAATTAAAATATGAAATACAATGTAGCTGATCAGAAAAAAAATTGCTTTATTCTATCTATGTTGGCACACACTTCTTCACTCTCGTTTGACTTAATCCTTCAAAAACTCAATAAGGAAATAGTTAACATAGTTTAACGAGCCGTTATTAATATACGGTCTGTGACCGTAAATCAATAATGTATGTCATAGGCTTCGGCTGGCGTCTGTCACGGTCTGTAGGAATGAGTGCAAATTTCTACTCTATATACTTTAATACTCCATTTAGATCGTGTTTCATACAAAACAATAGTATATAATTAAAAGATTGTATAGATTTTAATCTTTTAATATATATTTTATTGTTTTTTTCTGTAAACCATTGAATAAATATCACTGTTATATTAACAGAATAAGTGGCTTTAAATAGAAAATAGTTCAAAGCTGATAGTATTTAATATATTTATTGTTCATGTTGACCTAAAAAAAGATTCGATTATTGAAAAAAAAAAATTTCTGTTAGTAAATAAATATGAGTCAAATTGATCGATAATTAAATAAATTATACTTAAACAAAGAGCATTTTGATGAAAAAATATTATGACATACAGTTTAAAACAAGTTTAAACTAATGAAGATTAAAAGATGCTGAAGTTTTGAGTCGATTATAATATTAATAACATGCTGAACAATAGAAAATATTTAGAATCAATAGCAAACAATGGAAATTTATTGGAACTACAAATGCGTTTGATTAGTAATTACAAAGAAAATAAATAGTTCTTATGCTTTTCATTCGAGTGTTCTTTAACATCGAAGAAAGTTCTTTTTCCACTGAATGGCTCAGATGAATTACAAAGTAATACAAAAAAAAACATCAATTCTAAAATAATCCAGTCTCTATTAATTTCTATCAATAGTTTTCATGAACGGCGGAGCTACGAGGTCTGAGTAGACTCTATTAAATATAAAAATTTTCTATTATTGATTAATTTGCGTTTTCATCTGACAGACGACATGTTGTTCCAAGGTCAGTCCACACTTTATTTTTTAAATACGCAATAAGCTGGCAAAACTATGTTTTCTGAATACAGCAAATTGTTATCGTTATCTTTGATAGTTTCCGTTACAACAGCCATCGTTGAACAATCGTTTAGTGTTATGAATCGAAAAAAAACATATTTACGCTGTGCAATGATCCAATAATGTTTAAATTATGTTATTATTCGTCGTATTCATAAAGAAAAATTGGATTTACTTGATTTGAACAACATCTGCTCTAATTTTATTTCTTCGTAGTCTGTTTCTTTTTAAAGTAACATGTCTTTATTACTTCGTTAGTTCTTGATTTTGTTCAAGTAAACAAATAAAGAAAATCATGTTTCAACCTGCTCCTCAGCCTGATTTGGCTGAAACGTTGAGGCTATGTTAGACTGAAATCATTCCGCCGCCCCTGATAGTTTCGATGAGATCCACCAGAGAATAGGATGAGGGCGACGGCAAAAAACTAAACATATATGGATCGACATCCTAATAGATTGCGGTAAACCGTATAGATCTTAATAAACTTTTATAGATTCAGTGTGAGCTTAGTAGAGTTTCTTAGAATCACTAAGCTCATATATATATATATTCATAGATTCTACAAATGGATCTTTTCTGACAAAATATAGAAGTTTTGAATTATTTTATAACACATTCACATAATGAACTCTCATTTTCTTCTAAATGTGTCTCGTAGAGGTATCCAGTTTTCAATTGACATCTAGCTCTTTTAATTTTAATTATTCATTCAACAGCTGCTGCTTGATGTTATTTTTTACAAAAAACAATTGTGACTTGAGCATATTTAGCAAATCAAATACCTGTATGTAATTGAGTGAAATACCTAATTTCAAAATTTTCAGTTACATTTTCTTTTTTGTTTTACTCTATAGGAAACTAATATAGCGGTGTATTATTGTGATACTTCTCTGTTATTTGATAAAGTACAAGCTAGAAGAATAAAAAAAAAACTATTATTTTATGTTTTGATTAAAAATATTTTTATTTTATTTTATTTTTTTGTAATCAAAATATCTATGCAGTGTATTTAATTGTCAACGAAACATGATTAAATGTATTTATCAGTGGCATTAGTAAAAGTCAGCATCCATACTTTTTCATGATAATTAAATAGTTTTTAGACTTCCTAAACCTGAAAGAAAACTTTCATAGAAATGAATTTCGAATAGCATTCACAGAAGATCATCAGGATACTAATAGTACTCTTTGACATGATGTAAATTATGTATTTGTATGGTTCCCTATATCTGAAGAGAAACAATTCGATAAACATAAAATAATTTAGAGCATATTTTGATGCTTAATATAAAAAGACAAGTTCGTAAACAAAATAAAACTCATCGAAAGATTTCGGAAACTATTAACATAGCGGAGAAAAAATCTTTCTAACAATTTTGAATTATGAAGAATCTGTGAAAGATTTTTTTTTTTTTGTATTATAAAATTTAGGATGATCTACATCTCATATAAGAAAATCTATCTTTTCCTTATGAACTATGACAATATGAAATATACAAGAATCAAAGCCAAAAAACAAATATGATTATTATAAGTTAGGTGAAAATGGCAGAATGATTCGTCATGGTTGAATAATACAAATTACAAAAATTCTTTCATTTTCAATTCAAATTCAAGGCAATTGAGAACCTCAATGTATGCAACTTTAGTTTTTATTCATATGAAAAAATTTATTTCATCATTCCTGTTTCAAACGAAACAAAAAAATCGTAAAAATTTTGTCGACAAAAAATGTCTTTTGTTCATATCTATCGTTCAAAACATTGAGCCATAATCAATATGTAGATCATTACTTTTATCGATATAACTTATATTATATATGATTCTTTAATAAAAAAAAACAGTTCATTATTTATGCTTATATTTATTCGATTCTTATTTTGCTTTAACATCCATCGCAACTGTAAACGTTGTATGAATACAAATATGATTTGATTCCTTATGATGAACATATGGTTGAATGTTTGCACACTTCTTTCCTTTTCTTTTTACTTTAGTGTCTTTACATTAAATGAGAAGGCAAATAATTGATTTGTTGATAGACAAGAAAAGAAAAGTAAAAGAGAAGATGTCGAGTATTTGAACTCATTTATTTTCTTTCCTTCGTTTGAATCTTATTTCAGACTCAAGTACACATCAATTTTCAGAGCAAACAAAGAATTTTTTTTTATTATTATTCCACCGTTATTATTTAATATAGAAGAGAAGACAAAAAAATCTCATAGCAAAAAACGAACTTCATCAATATACGATAATGTACTTCAATAGTATTATTCGAATATTGTCAATTATCAAACAATAAAAAGAAAATGATGCAAATATTGATACTTTACGTAGTATCGAAATATTATTTAATAAAGATTAGTAAAACAAATTCTTATTGTATGATAAATTTATGTTTTTATATAACAGAACTTTCAATAAATTGAGAAATCTTGATTTGAATTTGGTTCTATTCAATTCAGAGACAACATCATATAACATCGTGGATAATAGTTTGATTAATATCTATGAAGTTATTTTTACATGTTATTGTTATTTACTATTTCATAAAGAGTTTCAATATACTTACACTTGAGTTTAGAGTTTTATATCAAAATGTTTCTTACTTCTATCAGAAACAAACGTTATGACATATTAGTTATCGTTTTATCGTTGTACTGTTCTATTTGTATGTTGTTTTAATTTATTTGTAACTATTGTTATTACTCATAACTTACTACTCAATAGAAAACAAAAAGACAAAATAAGAGATACATAAAAACTATTGATTAAAATTTAGTTGTTTAAAACAACTAATATTTTCTACATTATGTGAATATTCAACTAGGCATATATGATGATATTCAATTCAATTATGTTTTTGCCAGTGTCTCTAATTTTTTCATAATATTTTCAATAGTAATTAAAAACATTATCAAAATCTTGTATAACTCTAATGTGATTCGAATCTCTATCAAATTCTAATCCATAAGAATTAAATGGAATGTATTATCTACTAATAGAATTCGTAACACGCGATTAAAGAAACTAACTAACATGTACAAATGCTCTTTTTTCTCTACCTACACATGTATATACATACATACAATTGAAGAGTGATAAGGAAACGAGAGAAAAAGAAGAATGCTGCTGTAAAAAATATCAAACAAAATGTACGTATGTGTATTAGAAGAGCTATTATTTAAGACGACATTTTCGTGTTTACCTTGAATTAATTTTTTATAGCAAGTAATAGAATGAAAAGAGCAATTATGACAGGCAAGATTACACATTCGAATCAACTTTCATTTCATTCAAATCAATTTGTATTATTAACATTCAATACATCGTGCAAGAAATATGATCTATTTTTACTAACAGCATTGCAGTTTTATATTCATTTACTCGTTTAGATAAAATCTGAATGGTACCATTAAATGAAACGAAGTATGTACGATATGATTGTAGACTAGACTTTGATGTTTTTATTGTTTATTTTAATATCTAAAAATTCGATATCATTTATTCGTACTAAATACAATACAGTAAAGATAGATATTCATGACAAACAGATAAGACAATGTTTCTCTGTTGTTTTTTTGCTTCTCAAAACATCAGAATACGATGTAATGCATATGTTATTCTCTGACTTGTCAGTGATGCCAACATTTTTTTTGTGTTAGTGCTTCCATTATTATTACCATTTTCGGTGGTATTATAAATAATTCTATAAAGAAAAAGTTACCTTGTGAATAATGATTATTAATGGTACTGCAAGCGACAATCCAGGATTTATCATTGATTACAATGCTACATCATCATTGTGTTCGATACGGAAGATCAGGTTTTTTTTTTAATAGAATAATTGATAATAATAAAGACCTACGAAAAAAAGAACACTTGATGATAAAACTGAGAGAGAGAGGGAAAAAGTTCTTTTTTCTTATTTTATCTTTCTATGACACATAAAATGATAATAACAGGTATGGAGGACTGATGACATCGCACGAACTATAATCTTGATTTCTTCTCCGTAAGCACTAAATTTGAAATTAAAATATTTTTGTTTTTTTATTCATAGTAATCAACAACCTTTAAACAAGAGTAATAACTTTATTCGACGACGGCCAATGTCGAATGGAGTCAATAATAAATTGTTTGATGTCAAATACAAAGTTCTACTACTTGGTGATACACTTGTAGGAAAAACGTCATTACAACGATTTATTGCTGGAAAAGATTTTCGTCCAGACATTGGTTCTACTATTGGTATTAATATAAATTTGAATTTAAAATGAAAAATATCAAATTGATTTTTTTATAGGTATCGATTTTGTTAATAAAATAATTCCAGTTGAAAAATCAAAGATCAATTTACAGATATGGTAAGACGTACTAGTTGACTTTTTGTTTTTATTGTTTTTGGAAATTGATTTTTTTTATTCCTATGAAGGGATACAGCAGGTCAAAGAAATTTTCGAACAATAGGTAAAAATTATTATGCATCAACAAAAGCATTTGTACTAGTTTATGATGTTACGAATGAAGAGTCATTTCATTTAATTCAACAATTTAATCAATTAATTGAACAAGTTTATTAAAATAAAAATGAAATTTTTATTATTAAATTTATTTATCTAATATCTTTAATATTTAGACTGGATTAGATATAGAACGTCGATATTTAATAGCAAATAAAATTGATTTAAGTCAAAATCGAAAAGTTGATGAAGAAACTGGCCGACGTGTAAAAAACTATAATCTAAAATGATTATTATTATTTATTTTCTATATTTAGTTCGCTTTACGAAATAGTATGACTTATTTTGAAACAAGTTGTAAAACAGGTGAAAATGTTCTTGAACTTTTCGAACAAATTGCCTCTGATCTTGTTCGTCAACATGATTCAAAAATAGTATATGATTTAATTAATTATATTATTTATCAATCGTTTTTTTTTAGCTTGAATTTCATAAACCTGTAAAAGAAAATTTTGCATTTAATTATCGTACACCATCAATAACTAATCACGAAACATATGATAGAACTACTGAAGAAATGAAAAAATCAAAAAAGAAAAATATTTTTTCATCATTATTTTATGAACCAATTGGTAGAAATGATCGATTTAATTTTCGTCGTTTGATCTTCTGTTGTAGACCAAGTTAAATAATTGCTATAAAAAGATTAAGAAATTATAAAAACTTTTCTTTTTCCAAAATTTATGTGTGATATAAATATATATTTTTATCAAAGGTATTGTCAGGTGTATGTTTGTTCTTTCCTTTGTTTTTCTATTTACAAATATTCTCTTCTATGTATTCAAAATATGTATTACATTGAATATAACAACAATAAACATAATGGCAATGACATTGTTTTCGTTGAATTTATCGTTTTTTTTTTAATGTAACTACAACCATAATATAATTGTACATGAATCAGATAAATTTAAATTATTGATCATAAGCTAACAAATAGAATAGACAAATAATGTCAAGAAAGATAATCATACTGTTTCAATGTATATCTCGAAGTTTTAAAAGTTTCTCTATGGAAAAGAAATATTTTGTTCAAAATTTTTTTTACGATGATATTGTCTAGAATTATATCTGATTTCATC